ATGGTATCTAAAATGGTTTGCATTTTATTAGTATGCTCATAAAGTGTTTGACACTTGGTATAACTTAGCTTCATGATCATTTGCCTTAGTGCTTAAGTCTTTGTCATTTTAGACAAACTCATTTTTTTTTTTCATGGATGCTAATTTTGGTGCCATTTTGTAAAGTGTACTTATTATGTAAAAGCAATGTAGCTATGCAAGCAAAATATATTTTATTTAAAATGTGTGTAAATTTATGTGTGAGTATTGAATTATAATGAAATGATAACACTTAAACACTTGAAATGACAAGCAAATTTGTTCGGTAACACAAAATAAGTTAACAATTTTAACTATTTAGTGATATGGTTACTATATTATGTCGACATATTTAGTTTTGTAATTTTATAAGTGGCAAATGTGGGAGAAAAATTTAAAAAATGGAAAATAAAAAAAATAATTTCCAAAACTCACAACTCACTAAAATTATGCCACTCAATTATTTTTTGTAGTGACAGGTAAAAGATAGATGGCTAGGCTAATCATGTCGAGCTAACTATTGAACTTAACACAATATTTTTTTGGAATAACTGATATAAACTTACCACCATTTCATAAAAACATGATTCATTAGAAAGATAATAAAACATATAAAGTTAAGATTTACCCCTAGCAACATGAGTAGCTTCTTTATGCAAAGTGCTCCTTTGAAGGGGTGTTTTCTCCCTTACCAATTCCTCTTTGATTTAACCTTTAGATTTTAGTGTCAAAAGGTTCATGCTTGCTGTATGGGGTGTTTAATATCTTAGAATTACTAAGGTTGCTCTTGGATAGCATGTAGGAGTGAGGGTGGAGCTGCTAAGGTTGGTCAAATAAGGGGCAAATTTTTCCCTCAGGACACCGGATGGTCCTCTACGTCCGCACTCCAGTTACATTCCACCACGTTGAGTTGCGGGTCCCACATTTCCACGTAATTAAAAAAAAAAAAAAACGCCACGCTGAGGCCCGACCCGATGTCTCAGCGCCTTTTTGAGTATCCCACCTTTTAGAGTGTCGAGAATACTTTTCAAAAAGACATTTTTGGAAATTTTCATCTAGGGCTTTTTTCCTAGGGTTTTCGCCGTTCGTTCGCTCTGCTATGGTTTCACATTTTCTTCGTTTGATAGCTTTGAAGTTGTAACACGATGTAGTTAGATGATCCGAAGAGTACACAGGGCAAGGAGTTGAGGTAACCTTAATAAAATTTAGTGTTTGCTAATGGCGATTCATCTCATGTTGAAATCACTTGATGATGAATTAGAAATGTTTCTATATGTGATCAAGAGATTTTGGGACTTTTTTCCATGTATTTAGTTAATTTAGTGAATTGAAAGCAAAATCAATAGTAAGTCTTAAAAGAGATAATTACATACACAACACCCGAAATATTTTTTTTGCAAATCTAGCACCCTGACGATTTTTTCTGAACTACCGACCCGATGCATTTATGCGTGCCACAATCAAATGATTGAAAATTTGATAAAATAAAAATATGGATTGAGGTTTTATCTTTGATTTTGATATTTGAGTGAGAATTAAAAAATGGATTAAATAGGGCTGTAGTTTTGTAAATAGCAATGTCTTGTGTGCTATGTATGTAATTGCCCCTTCTTAAAAATACTAATCTGGCCTTCTTAACACAGCTATATTTATTTAAAATTTTCTCATGGTAGATGTTTGGAAATATTTGAAAGTGATGTGGAGATGCTTGTAGTTGAGTTATGGTGCTTATGAAAATTTTTTTAAAGAGATTTAGGTGGTAAATTTGAAGCAAAAGCAAGACTTGCTTATTGAAAACCTTGTATGTTTGATTTGAGATATGGTCTCGTTTTTTTGAACTTCTTGGAATGAGATCGCTAGATTTCTTTTTCTTAAGATGATAGTAGATGCGGGGGAGAAGCTGATAAAAAATTTTAATTGAGAACTTTTGATAAAAATTGCACAAAATTGTGTCCTTGTGAATGAGGCGCCTCTCAGCCACCAAGTTCAAAGGAAAGAGAAGTGTGAAAATGCATCTTCATTAATAATTTTCCATTACAATGATTACAAAGTTTTTAAATGATTTTTTAATAAGTTTGGCCTTTGAAATTCGAATTCCCACATATAGGAGGCTGTTCCATGTTTATATGTTGTGTTGGCAAGGGGATTGGCATGGCATGATCATTCTGTGTTCATGGAGAGTGTGCTAGCTCCTTGGTTGACTTTGATTGACTTGGAACTTCAAATGATTGAAATTTTAATCCAAAGCTTCATAAAATTGATTTTCATAGGCATTTTAAGGTTTCTAAAACCCAAGCCTCCTTTATTCACAGCTTTACAAACCTTCTCCCAAGAGGTCCAGTTCATCTTTTGATGTTTTGGCTGATCACAAGAACTTATTAAAAAACTTCTCTAGTCGGCTGCAGGTCCCCTTAGGCATCTTCATAATTTGCATTATATAGAGAGGAATGGACGTGAGTATGCTTTTAAAAAGAGTAATCTTGCCACCACGAATTAAGAAAAGATTCTCCCAAGATTGAATCCTGGACAGGATCTTCAGAAATAAACATTCAAACAGCTGCTTCTTTTTCCTGCCTTTGTCCATGGCAAAACCATGATATGTTAAGGGTAAATCTGTTTTGGAACAGTCTGTTGTGTCCGCAAACCAATTTCTCTTAACCTGAGGGATAGCTTTAACACAAATAAAATTGCATTTAGCCATGTTCAACTGTAAACCTGAAGCTGCCTCAAAATACTCAATGACCTTCCAAAGTCTTCTGATAGAATGTTTATTAGAGTTTGTAAAAATGATAAGGTCATCTGCATAAGCAAGGTGAGAAATCCCCAAACTACATTTGATGTTAAAATACATAGCAGGATGCTTGAAAAACACCTCATTCAAACTTCTCTGTATCATGATCTTGCATGGGATCTCCAAATTCTTCTCGTTGCATAATGTGACATGATGATGAATTTATGTGCATTTGAAAGTCTGATGATGTTCCAAGCCTCCTACATAATTTATAATCCTAGCATGACCTAGGCATACAAAACATGACTTAATAGTATATATTGTCCTTCCAAACAACAAATGGACAAGAAAAATAACACAATAAACATATTGTTTTGACCCTTAACAATTTATTATTTGTTATAGACCCCGTGATAGGTCTATGGTGCATTGCATCAGCAGCGTTCGGCTAAGACTTTGTTTTGGAAACTATTTTTAGCGCTTTTTGTATGGGCTAGCTCAAGATGAACTCATTAGCCGAGGACATTTAGTTTGAAATATTAATAGAGACCTTGCCCTTTTGATGTTAGTATACTATATTTAAAGGTTTTTGGAAAGTGCATTATATTAGTCTCTTCTCTTGCAATGTTTCCTGAAGTAGTTGACAACCTAATACCATTGAACGCTTGGGAAATTAACAAGGAGTAAATTGTACATTACCTTGCCTAACATTGCTTTACCAAGCAACAGAGATGTCGATGCACCTTATGTTAAACATGTTCTAGTATGCTTTTTTGGACGATTGCATCAATCCAAATTAAAATATATCAACCATACTGTCCAACAATACAAGAACTAGGGACCTAATTTATTTTTAATAATATATTTTTATTTTTTTGGAATTATTATTATTATTATTATTATCATTTTTATGATTTTCAATAGATCATTTGAATATTATTATTTTTATGCTACTTAAAATGGTCAAGATTATATATTTATGAAGTTGGTCTTCTCAATAAATGTTAAAAACTTCTAAAATTTTTGAAATTTTTCTAATTTTTTGAAGACATCAACATTTTAGAATGAAAAGGGCATTTAAATTAATTTTTTTTAATCATAAAATATCCAATATTGTTTTATAGTTAAAATATTTATGAAAATTATATAATTAACTTATTCTTATTTTTTTTGTAAATTTAAGATGTCGTGATATAGTTTACTTCAACTGTATTGATTTTTTTAGTTTTAATGTGTGATTCTTTGGTTTTCTTTCCTTTTGGGATTATGGTTACGCCTACCATACATGTCCCTTTTTTGGCGATGCTCTCATTAGCTTATTCCTTAAAGATTCCTTCGGTTAACGGTGTTGTTTTGTTATGGGTTGTTCTTGTTAGTCATTTTGGTTGCCCCGTGAATTTCTTGTTCCATTGTTTAAGTTAGCAAACCATCCTTCATGCACTTTTTGTGAGCTGCAATCTGATTATATTTTCTGATTATAAATTAAGCTCTTAGTTGTGTAAATGAACTAATCCATGATGAATATTAGAAAATGCTTTGATGTGCACTTGGCCACTATGTAATGTTGGGTTCACTTTTTTTATAAACTAACATTAAGAAAATTTTAAATGCTGATGTATACTGATTGTGGCAATGGTTTTAATGGCAGCTGTAAAAGTTAGGCATGAGTTCGAGGAAATGCTATTAGTAGGTGAGAAAGAGAATGGGATTTGACTGTTTGCAATTTTTTCTCATTTGTTTGGGAATTAGGGAGTTGTTGGTTTGAAGGTTTTAGCGGAATGGGGATCATGAACATTGGACATGAGAGGAAGGGTGGAAAGCTTCTATTTTATAAAGGTAAAAGAGGAGACGTATATGAAGTCATGTTGAGTGTACCAATAATCAACTAAGAAAAAAGAAAGTAAAAAACAAAACCAAAAATGTTAAACAACCCAATTAAAATGGTTGGCAATTTAGCAGCATGAAAAAAGTTTTAGAATCTCAGTTGAGACTATTCCCACATATATACACTTAAATAAAAAAAAAACTGCACATAAAAATATAATGATAGAAGTACCAATCGATACTAAAATGATAGAAATTATAAAATGACTGAATTTATTTTACTTACACTAATGTAAGTAGGTTGACTTAAACGATCAATGAGGTACATGCATCTTCACGAGTATTTTGTAAGCTCTTCATGTATCAATTGGGTGCTTTCATGCCACTTTTTTATTTTGAATTCTTACCTAGCAAGAATTTTCAGCAGTCACTTGCGAGCTCCAGATGTTTCCTTTTTTTCCTCCAAAACTTACTGGCCTTGGATATAGGGAATGAGCAAACAGAGACATTGCCTCTTGTTGTTTCATTGACTTCCCTCATTGAAGGTACTTATTTATTTTGTTTAATTATTGTATTTCTTTTTTGGTCTGTTTTGATGGAATGCTTTAGCTCAATTCTTTTTTGAAAGGATGAAATTCTGTATCTTTATTATAAATTAGTTCCTCTGAATATTAGTCAGTATGTTTCATTATGATGGATTGATTTATGTTAGTTTTTTTTGGCTCAATTTTATTAAGTATAAATAGTACTACGAACAACGTCAACTCTATATATGATTGTCTTTCTGTTCTGGTTGTTCTTAAAACATCGTACGAGATTAGAAAAGGCATAGGGGATGTTTTAGGCAAGGAATATTACTCCCTAATCTCTTCAAACAAGTCAAATTTCTAAGATTTTCTCCTCGATAGCCTTATTTGATACTCTATCCTATATTCCCGTATTCGCTAAGGGTGAATTCAACCAAGTCAAGAAAGTAGATGAATTCACTAGCTGAGACCAAAGAAGAGCTCATCAACAAAAGCTCAAGATGAAATTTTCAAGCTGAGTTTTTGATAAATTTGGTAGTCGGTTCCATGAGAGAGCTTGCCAGCATAGGTCAAGACTAGCCTAGCCTGGTTAAAGACACCCGTTTGCCATTATTAAGGCAAACTTAGTAGAAGACTAAAGGTAATATATATTAGGCTCATACACTAAGCACCTAAAGAACAAGCACAAATTAACCTAGAGGCTTGCTAGATTGACTGTACATAGATAGTTCAAGTTGAGGTTTATTTGGCTAGTACCACCAATATAGCTAGGGACTTCCCCAAGTATGACGGCTGACTATTAGTCTAAGTCGAAGTCTATACATAGGTTACACACCTCTTGTATTTTATAGATTTCCATTTTCATACATAACTAATTAAGCAACGCTAAAGGTCCCAAATCCCAGCTTTTAATAGGGGATTTCACAAAAATGCCAAAGTTTTAACATTCTCCTATTGTATTATTTTTTGGGCCTCATAGTAGATTTTACTTACTCTCTTTGCTCAACATTATTTTCCTGTTTTTTTCCCTATGTTAGTACGGTTCTGCCATAATCCGTGGATGAAGTAGAATAAAATTTCCTTAAAGGTTTGGTAAGCTTGGATTTATGATAAGGGCTAGATGGGACATACAAAAATTTATAAATGATATAAATGATTCTAACAAAAAACAAGAGAGACCCTTACCAAAGTTGTTTCTGAGAACATGGAGAATCAACAATTTATGACAACTTGGTAGCAAATTAAGATGGTGGAGAGATTCAATGGAATGATCCATGGTATTCTGAATCCAATCCCTAGAACAATGCCCAAATTGTAGTTGCTCGAGATTCTATGGACTCGACAATTAGGAGGAGGTCCTTTTGGGGAAGAGTCTGATCGACATCATGAGAGAAGACTTGCTACTCGGACTTTTAGAGAAGAGTGAACCTTGCCAACTAAAAATGTGATTAGAACAAAGTAGGCCTTAGATGATGAATGCTCTTTCCGAAGAAGTCACCGATGTGAGGCCGTAGGCAAAATTTAAATTTTCGTCTTCATTCTTGTAGAGGTTGAACTAACCTAATTGTCCACATAGCATATTTTGAGTACAAAATCTCGCTTTTAGTTATCAATAATGTGCTAACGTAGCTTGTTTTTAACAGACTTTAAGGACCCTTAAGTGATTCTCCTACCTGCTACTCAGAACGGCCATGTTGTTAGTTTTGTTCAACAAAATGTTCATGATACAGTTCATCAATGCCTAATGTTTTTAGAACAACTTATAAGCTTTCTTGAAGATGTGCCGAGTGCTCAATGAGTTGTTGAGAAACTTTATAATGAGGTTCCGACCTCAAAGTAAAAGACCTAAAGCTTATTATAGCTTAAGGTGCCTTTGCTCAAGTTTTTCGTAAGGGACTTTTGTGCTATGAACTCAACCTGCAATATCTGAAGACTCTAGCTAAGTTAATCAAACTTGCTAATTACCAAGTAAACATATATAAGTATAACAATGAGATTGAGACATCATCTTAAAGCTCTCTAGAGGAAAAAGACTAGGTGAGTTTATATAGCCTCTTAGAGATTATTATAATTGCTTCAAAGTCCTAAGGTTTGAAGCTCCTCATCCTTGGCTTTCACAGTGACCTTTTTGTTTTTAGCGAGTCAATTGCTAGCCAAGACAAATCCTATTTGAAAGGATCAACAATCATATGAAAAAGGATAAGGTGTTGCCACAAACACTTACTCATTCCTTACTCGTCATTTCAGCATGGACATTCATAGTTGAGTTAGTTGAGGCCATCTAAAATAAATATTTTAGGTGCCCAATTCCAATGAATGCTGGTCCTTATTTGAGAGATATGATGAAATATAGTGCTTGACCACGATGATGATACCAAGGGTTATTGCCAACCTAAGAACTTAGTAGAGGGTTGAAGAAAGGAAACAAAAAATGAAGGAATTTAATATTAATTGACCACTTCCAATGGTTTGGTGAAGAGCCAATGACTGATGATAGAAACAATCCCTCCCTGCACATGCAATCTATATAGTTCAGGTTGAGCTTGATATCTTGGGTGGCTTGAGAATAAATTCCTAATTGGGCCCGATCTCAAGCTACTCAAGTTGTGAGATGTCAACTTGAGAACCATCACACTAACGGTAGCAATGACGATTCTCCCCTACATTTTTCGAGGCTGATGCACCATTAATGGTAATCCCTACAATAATGCTATCATATTCATAATGTTAATTATATATTACCAAATTCAAATCATATTGATCAACCCAGAAAGCTTTGTCATTGTCATTTTCAAAATTACTTTATAAACATCGAGGAAGCTCATTTGTCACGACTTGGCTCGGGGCATGAAATTAACCAAGATGGGAATGGACGGTCCAACGGTGGAAAAACAATTCTCTGTTATTCTATTTTTATTACTAATAGTTTAATATTCAATTATTCATAAAAGAGTCACTAAAAAAGAAATTTAATTAGCAAGTAGACATTTGTACCTTGTCGGTTGCTATTCTCACCTCCTATATATATTTGCTCATTTTCTATTTATCTTGTTTAAAAGCTCAAAACTCTAAAAAAATTAAAGTAATATAATGAGTTATCTACAGATAACCCAAGAATCATCACACTTCTAAACTAACACTAACTCAAGTAATATAATTAAATATGCATGCTGACCTTTCATATCTCTACAAGAAATCTTATAATATGTTAATGCATATATTAATGACCTTTACTCAATGAAAATATTCTAAATTTTTGTATGATATGACTTTATTTCTTTTTTATACTATTTATATATACGTCTGTTTGCTTTAGGATCATCGTCAACAAAACCTAACACTCCCATGTCTGATATTATCCGTTCAGTACAATGATTAGCAATTTAAACATCACAATTATTAAGTGGAAATGTACCCACTCGCTTTTGGCAGATATTCTCCCATCAACACAGAAATTAGTGCTATAAACGTATTAATTATCTAGCGTGAGGAGTTCTTTCTACTCGCTGTTAGCCGATATTCTCCCGTCGGTACAACGATTAGTGATTTAAGCATTATAATTGTTTAGGGTTATTGAGAAACTAAGCACGCAGTTACATTGGCCTCTCCTGCCTATACTACTAAGGGGTGAACTCTTAACATGCATATGGAAACATTCATGCATTCATATGTAAGCTATTTCATTCTTCATAACATGTATTCTTCCGAGATATCTTCATTCATCTACTAACATGTATATTTGCTTTGCTGTGCAATTATTCATCATACATATCTCTCATATCATGTACTCTCATACCATTCAACTCTTATCTCATGCGTAGCTCTTATATCATGCATATATTTCCTATTATGTTTGTCATGCATATCTTGTCCATTATACATATAATGCATCTCATGTATATCTTTCATGCATATCCTGTATATATTTCCTGTCGTGCTTATTTTTTATATGTAACTATATAAAAGTATGTTTTAATATAAAATTTAAATGAACTAAGTAATCAACATACATTTGATATAAAGAGTATTACTGAAACTTAATAATAGAATTGCTCACCTCGATTGTCATGCTAGATTTTTAGTCTTCGATAAACAGATGACATTACGGTAATTTTTATGTTGATATTAATAACCTATATACTAAAAATTGAACTTTAAGATTCAAGCAATTTCCATTAATCAAATTACTATTCATTCTTCTTAAGTTAGCATAGGATTAATTTTTTTGAATTTAAGGAGCTGTCATACGAGTAGCTTCCAGCGCTCAGCTTGAGTTTGCCACCTCATGTAAATAACCTAAAATCTGTAGATATCTGAGAATTTCATAATATCTTTGCTCATAAAGCAATTTAACCTTGAACATACCTTAAACGATTTCACGGCATACCCCAACACTTCTCCAAAGCTCCCAAATCTTCTTATCTTCTTATCACTTCTGCACTTTTTTATCTTCATTGATTTTTGGCTTAAGACCTTTACGAAAGTTTAAAAATCAATTTGGTAGCTTTCAACTAAACCATGTCCTCACTACGACGACTGTAATGAAGAAGATGCATGAATCGTGACAAATCTCAAAACAAAAACAGGAGGAAGGAAAACAAATGTCGTAAATAGCGTGAATGAGGGTTTCACACTTATCGATTTCATCTCGAAACTCGAAGTTGTGTCTGTCTGCTACCTACGAGTCGCGACTGTGCTGCAGATTGCAATTCTTTTATAGTATAGAGTCACTTAGAAGCTGTGGAAGAAGGAATTGGGAGAACTCTTGTGTGAACGAAATACGAAGATTTTGGAGAGATCCCCCCCATTCGACTCCAACCAAGGTAAATATCGTGTGGGTAGGTCGGTTGGGAATAGTAACGTGGGTTTTGGTAGGGATAATTAAGGGTTAATTAAGTTTAATTAAACTTGTAACTTTCTATTTTTATATCTTCCTATCTATTCATGATTGACATATAGTGTTTTATACTAATTAATTGATTCAACGCTTAGAATTTTATTAAATAGATTCAGTTGAAATTGTTTAAATTTTTTTTATTACTTTCAAGGTATTCGTGTCAAGTTTGCTTCATTGCATAAGCCCAAGATCATTGATCAAGTAAAAAAAGGTGAACAAGTAGATCTTCAACTTGTTGATTAAGAAAGTTGAAGGTGCAAGAGAAAATGGTGGGTTGTCTTTCCCTTAATTCTCTTGGTGTTGAGGACAATCTCATCATTAATGTCCGATTAGACACTTTTATGTTATCTTATGGATCTGAGGCATTGCCCAATGCACATACCTTACATATCCTAGGAGTCACAGCAGGCTCCACGTATGAGGAAGACAAATTTGATGAATATAGAGAAGTGAAAGAATGGTTAATGATTGTACTCGACATGCTACATGAGTTTAGAGTTTAATTGGACATGAAACAAGAACCAAGGAAAGGATAATTGAATTTTATAATTGAAATGTCTGAAGCAGGAAATTCCATGCTGACGGCTTAATCATGAAGAAAGTTGATGCATAATTTTGTTAGACCTCACTCAAAATACTTGATCAACTTGAGAGGGCTCTTATATTTTTAAGGAACAAGTTGATACTTAAGCTTGTTGATTACAAACACACATAAGATAAAAAGTGCCCACCACTTAGAGTGAAGATGATTTGAAGGCTTTCATTTCTTAAACGATTTTCTTGTTCTTATTTCTAGTACTCATTGCTTTATATTTGTATTCTTTGTAAGAAAGAAACATGTTCATAGATATCTCTGCTTAAATGCTGAGTTCATTTCAACATACTTGCCCTTAAGAATGAGTTTGTAAAGAAAATCAGGGAACTCGTCCTAAAAAACTTGGGCAACTTGACCAATAAGGGCAAGTTAGACCCTTATGAATGATGCCTCCATTTAACGGTGAGTTAGACTTGGGGGTCTATGTTTTTCTTACAATTTAGTTTAAAATTATTAAATACTTTTATGACGTTGGGTCCCGTAATATCCGTTGGTTATGCCCAATTCATCAATTTAATAATTCGTCAGCTCATCAGCTTGACAACTCGACAGCTTGGTAACTCGACAGCTTGGTAACTCAACATCTTGGTAGCTCGATGACTCATTAGCTCGACTTCTCGTCCGCTCGGCCGCTTGGCCGCTCGGCAGCTCGTCAGCTTGTCAACTCGGCAGCTCAGCAAATCATCAACTCGATAGCTCGATATCTTGACAGCTCATCAGCTTGGTAGCTTGACAACTTGGTAGCTTGATAGCCCAACAAGCCTACCTTTAGTTCCCCAGTTTTTTTCTCTTTTGACAGAAAATTACGAAAAAATAAGGATGAAAAATATTAAGTTATGCATTACTTGTCTCTATACGACAAGCCTATACTTTATATATCCGAAAAATTAATTCTTTGATATGAATTAAAACTATTTTGATAAAAATGATTGTTGTATTTCACTATGCACTGGTTATTCATCTATATGAGGGCTCTTAGCACTTCTACGTGAAATCATCGTGGGGCCACTTTGTCTAGGCATTATATCTCGCCTCTTGACATTTTATAGTTGATTCGATCGTCTTATAAGGAGAGTTCGTCGAGTATTATTAGTAAATAATATATTTTACCCACTATTTGTGTCTAGTTATAATTTTTTTTTATAATATAACTCAGTTATAAAAGAATTAAAATAGTTTCGTTAAATTTGGACTTTTCTTTCTTTGGGGACTCGGAAGCTACGCCTATAGGGTGTAGTCACCGTAATTTTTTGACCTTATCTAGGGTGAGATCTCTTGTGACTTTATCTTTATTCAACAGAATTATACTTCAAAAAGAGTTTTTCTAAAGTTGTCCCTAACAGTAGGCTATCTTTAATATCTAGGTGAATAGACTTTATCTTTTATTCAACAGAATTATACTTCAAGAAGAGTTTTTCTAAAGTTGTCCCTAACAGTAGGCTATTGAGCCGAGTAGTGGCTAAAAATTTTGGACGATTTTCTTTTTCCTCTTATGAAATTTGCTTACAAGGGGTAATTTCCTTAATTAAAAAATGAAAGCACTTATGTAAATTTATGAAAACTTATACAAAACAAATTTGAGATATTTGAGTTCAAAGGATGAAAGATTTAATGATAGAATATCTGATCTCATGTAGAAAAAATTCCTCTAATGCGATTCTGGTTGTCCCTCTAAAGTTGTTTATGCATAATTTTAGATTTAATGCATACATCCACACTCACTACATCTTTTTGATTCTTTTTAGGATGCAAAGACTAGTCTTGTTTGTGGGTTATCCAAATCCTACTAATATTGACGAGCAAAATAAGGAGAAAGAAAGAGAGAGGAGCAGCTTGTGACAAGAGAGAGCCTGGTCTCCCGCCTCATTGTTACGCTTAACCCTTATTTATAAGCCCCAGGGTATCTTTTTACTATTTTATAATATATTATATAAATATACATAATGTTAAGTCATATCCACCGATTTTTTCTCATTTCCATCAGCTTTATGTCATGACTAACTGTGTTATGTTGCCATGCAATTTCTTATCATATCTCACCGTATAATTGAAATTGGCAGCTCGACAGTTCGTCAGCTCAACAGCTTGCCAGCCTGGTAGCTGGTCAGCTCAGCAGTTTGGTAGTTCAACAACTCATAACTCAATAGCTTGACAGCTTGTGAGTTTGACAACCTGACAACTCGACAATTCGACAGCTCGTCAGCTGGGCAGCTCGACAATCCTTTTTAGATTTATTCAAAAATAAATACCCTCGAAATAAATGCTACACTAATTACCAACACTTGTGGAAATCACCCTATATAGGCTAAAAGATGAACAAACAAACACAAAAAAAGACGAAGACTCAACTCTAAGACTGAATTGGGCTAATTGCTATGTCAACATTAGAGAGATTTTTTTTCTTAATTGCAACTCGGCTTACTAAGAAGTTGAATAGCCGGCTTAGGGATCAATGGTCACAAGATCTCACCTTATGTAAATATGAAAAATTATGTCAAATATTTGAAGAGTTACAATCTCCATGTGAAGATAAGTTCAGACTTAACAAAGTCGTCCCATCTATTTATAGCCTTGAGTCGCAACTAGAAGAAAATAAGAAATTTTATGAAGTAGTAATTATTTTTCCTCGTATTAAATTCAAGGCCAAAATAATAAAAAAAATAAATGTCTCCCAGCTGACTGACAACTTCAAACATTTTGTAATATTTTGGGCACCATCACCAACACAGGGAACGTCGGGTGCTCCACATTCTTGTCATCTATTGTAACATTTTGAGTCTGATAATGTAGTTTCTATTACTCCCTCAACTCCCCTTCGCTCCTCTTCTCATTTTCTTTTTATTATTAATGCTTTGGTATAGCCTACGAACACAATAAGATCCAACATATTCCATTCCTGCACTATAATCGTTCATCTCCTATCCCCAGAGATTCCTGTCCCGTATGTATGTTTATTTGATTTCAAACTGTTCTTTTTCTACTGCACTAAGAAATTTGCCTAATCATCAGAGCTGTGCCTTGTTCGAGATGAGAAGACTGTAGTAAACCCTCGAAGCGTGATGCTTGCTATGGCCCAATATCTCCAGGGCTTCAACATGATGAAACAACAGGTGTATTCTCACTATCCTTTTGAATCCTGATAAATTTCATATAAATAATGCAATGCATTGAGCAAACATTTTGCTTTCCTCATGCAGGATGCTGCTGAAGTATTTATTCATCTGTTGTCTTCCTTAGAAAAGGAAATCAGCGGGCATTTTATTCGTTTGCAACATTGTGGATCTCTAGCAGACATCACTGCCTTGTCCACTAGGATTTACAGCCAAGAGAAGGGAGCACCAAATGAGTTTGAAAAATGGAGGAAGCTTTTTATTGGGCCGTTTGATGTAGTTATTGGGAGCTATTTAACATGCAGAAGTTGTTCAACAACTGTAATTGCCTTTCAGTTTTCTGATATTTCTTAATTTTTTTTTCTTGACATAACCTTCTTGCTGTGCACATAAAGCATGTGTACAAAAAACACAAGAATATTATTTTAGGCAATTTGCTCTTTCTAAACATTTTTATTTGCTGAGCAGTGTTTTCTCTCTCTCTCTGACATTCTCCACGAACATAAAACTGCCCCTTATTTGTACAGAAACAATAATGAAGAGTCATGTATTAACATAATTATCTTTTAAATCCTATATCCTAAAATAGTAATTTCCTTTCCTTTTTGAATACCATTTTGTTGTATCCATGAGCTAACTGTTTGTTTTATGCTGCTTCGTCAGCTTTCGGTGGATTTGGAGTTCTTGCGCTCCTTGCCTCTCTCACCTGTGCTTGATGGACATGCTGATATTGTATGTTCTTGATATGGTTCTGTTTGTTTTAGTCACAATTCTTTGCTCCCTCCGAAGATTTTTGTGTATGAATTTCCTAATTGTCTATCCATGCTTTTTTTTTTTTTCTTTTCTTCTTTTCTTGTTCATAGGTGGAGGGGCTGCAGCTTGTTGGATTGCCTCAAGCATTTCACCAAAGTGGAGCATGTTGATAATTATTGCTGTGGTAGATGTTGGCATACTGCTGCTTTGAAGCATCTCTCTTATAGAACTGACAAAGATGAGGTGATGATTTTTGGCTCACCTGGCCTTTTTCTTTGTCAGTTAACAGCCTAGACCTTCACATTTCTGTATTTTACTGAAATTGGTTGGAGAACAAGATTTCCTTGACTCTGTTAATTAATTGCCCATATTTAGGTGATAATTAAAAGGCTCAGTGAATGTGTTAAGCATGATTCTTGCAATTGCAAACACCTCTTTAGCGATGACGAGATTTCCTGGACTGGTGTTTCACACGCTTTAAAGAAATTGAGCATTATTACATGCCCAAAGGTATGAGATATATATGCTTGCAAATTAAGGAAGCCTTCTAGAGTTTTCTTTAACCTATATGTTAAGTAAGAAACTATTTAATTTTGATATAAATACAACGTTTTGATATATTTTAGATACTCTCCATTCATTTGCAACGTGCGTCAATGAACTGCCATGGTGAATTGGTTAAACTTCAGGTATGCTAAATTACCTTAATGGACAAATTGAATAGTTGTTTCATTAAGATATAGTGTCTGATTACAGGGGCATATTTCTTTCCCATTGTTTCTTGACCTCTCTATATTGGTGGAAACTGCAACAAAAATGGGACAACTGACTTCTGCAAAATATATGCACAACAAAATGAAGGTACAAGATTGGGCATTTGGTCCTCCGATAGGCCAGGAAATGCGGATGCTCCCACATTTGTACAGATTTGTAGGCCAAATCCCTTCTGTAAAGTCCTTGTCAGAAAGTAAGTTTAACCTGCCATCTTGTGAGCTTTTAGGAAGTAAACTTTTGGAAGCTGCTTCTGCAGCCAACAGTGAGGAGGCAGTGGTAACAAAACTGGCTGCTGATTTGAATCAGACCCGCATCATTCCTGACAGAGATTACAGAGAAAAGGTGACTCTCTCTCTCCATAAGTCAACTACATCTGTTCTTCTCGTACCTACGAATGTCATTTTCCCTCGACTGCATACATGGCTTGATTTCAGTTGCTGTTACGCTGCTTGGACTTTTTTGTTACACGTATTTTTCCTGCCAGGTAGAAATCCATAGTTCAAGATCATCACATGGTTGTATGTACTACCTCTTCTCAGTTGTTGAGCATTACGGAAGGCCTGGCAGTGGTCATTATGCTGTTTACAGGAAGGTTGCATCTCATTCATCTTCTGGTGCTACTGGGAAGCCACCTGATTCCATGAATGGATCATGGGTTTATATTTCTGACAGTGAAGTCAAATGCACCAGTGAGGAGGATGTTCTTGCTGCGAAGGCAAGCATGCTTTTTTATGAGAGAGTTGAGGCTGATCTCTGAGAATCAGAATGTTGAAATCTAACTCGACGGACCAAACAAGCCTAGCTATACTATGTGAAACTATTTATGTATGTTTTTCTCTACCTTTAGAAATAAAAGGATAAGCCTTTTAGAGCTCCTTCCAATAGAGAATAGTCTAACACTAGTATGGTCATAGCCTCGGTTCGGAAAGTGGTGCATTCTGATAACGTAGGACATGATGAAATGAATTGAGTTTTTTTTTTTAATTCTCAAAAAAATGAATTTTTTTTTGCAAGTAATACCAAATAGAAATAATGAAGGATAATTTTATTCCATAGACAAGTCAAAGTGATATAACTAAAAAAAAAACAAAAATTGATTGAAACAAAAATGATAACAGAAGGAACAACCACCCAAAGCTCAGAAGGGGGAAAAAAAAACTAAAAAAAATATTAAAAGTATTAAAAAAAAAGGTAATCTAGAACTTGAAAGTTTGAGACACCGCTTGGGCGTGGTAGAGGAGCGGTGCGGCGGGGGGGCGCCAATTGGGTGCCGCAATTTTTTTTCTGTTTGGGGCTACCGCATTTTCCCTTAAACGCAGACCACTGATTCAACACTACGGCCCGCCTTTCTCCTTCGACTTTTTTTCCAAGTGCCCTCCCTTTTCGTGATTCCGTCCTAATTCTTCTTTCTCGTTCGACAATTTACGCAAGGGTAAGCATCAATCTTTCTCGTTCGACAATTTACGCAAGAGTTCGACAATTTGCATGTTGTTCTCGTCATCTTCCATTTATGTTAGCTTGTGGTATGCACATTTTCTGCAATATATGCGAATGCCTTCTTCGCTGTTAGCTTGCGGTATGCACATTTTCTGCAATATATGCGAATGCTTTCTTCGTTGGATTTGTGCTGTTAGATTTGAAAATGTTCGGTGATATGGATTTGATGTGAATGCTACATGTTTTTGGTGGCCCGAATTTTGGTTTGGTTAGTTGTATGATTTTTTTTTTCTTTTATTGCTTAGGGATGCCAACAATCTGATGTTGGATATTTTTGAGTGAGGGTGTATAATGGTTGTGGCATGGTCATTCATGTGCATATAGATCATTTGGGTGGTCTGCATGGGGATCTAACAAAAAAAAAAAAGTGAAAATAAATTAATTTTAGATGCAGCTTTGGAATTGTTATTGTTCTTTGGAGTGGTTATGGCTTGGGGTTGTAGATGTGGATTGGGGTGGCTTTGGCTTGGGGTTGTGGATGTGGTTTGCGGTGGATGTGACTTGGGGTGGTTGTGGCTTGAGGTGGTTGTGGCTTGGGGTTGTCGTGGCTTGGGGTTATGGGTGTTGTCGTGGCTTGGGGTTATGGTGGATATGGCTTGGGGTTATGGGTGTGGGTGGCTTGGGGTGGATGCGGCTTGGGGTTATGGGTGTGGCCGTGGCTTGGAGTTGTGGGTGGATGTGGCTTGGGGTTATGGGTGTGGCCGTGGCTTGTGGTTTTGTGGAGTGGCTTGGGGTTATGGTTGTGGGTGGCTTTAGGGTTATGGTTGTGGCTTGGGGTGAATGTGGCTTCCAGTGGATATGGCTTGGGGTTATGGGTGTGGCCGTGGCTTGGGGTTGTGGGTTTGGCTGTGGCTTGGGCTTATGAGTGGATGTGGCTTGGGTTTATGGGTGTGGCTGGCTTGGGGTTATGGGTGTGGCTTGGGGTGGATGTGACATGGGGTTATGGGTGTGGTCGTGGCTTAGGGTATGGGTGGATGTGGCTTGGGGTTATGTGTGTGGGTGGCTTGGGGTTATGGGTGAGTGTGGCTTGGGGTTATGGATGGATGTAGCTTGGCCTGGTTGTGACTTAAGGTTATGGATGGATGTGGCTTGGGGTTATGGGTGTGGATGTGGCGTGGGGGGGGGGGGGGGTGGGGGGGGGG